AATGTGGAATCAAACTCTGATGATTTCAGCATCTTATGCTGATAACATGTGATTAACACATGGCTATAGATACTAACACTCAGATCTCATTCTTGTCAGTAGACAAAAAGTTCTTGCATCACCAAAACACAATGCTTGCTGTCACTCTGACTGAAGTAAGCTACCATAAGTGAATTTTCAGTTGGACAAATTCATCCCTGGAGACAGCAAAATTCCAACTAGGGCACATTTGTCTTCCTCTTCAGCAACTCAGCTCTCAGCTTGGTGCTTCAAGCAAGCAAGAAAGGCACGAAATGTGAAGCGAGCATTTCTCTGCAATTGTCACGGCAAAAACAGAGATGTCTCCACTCGTTCAACCCAAAATAACCCCACAGCACTGCAAAGCTCAGAGCCAGCAGGGATCACTCACAGCCCCATCCCCTTTGTGGGACTGGTTAGTCCGATTCGAGTAGTTGTGGGCACAGAACACAGAGTTCGCCTCTTACACCAATAACTTAGGAGCATTCACTCTCACCATTCAGTCCCCTTCCTGGGACTTCTTTGAGATCCATGCTCCTGTTAGTGCTGCCTCTGAGTCACCAGGTCTCCCAAACCAGCAAGTCATGGAATCACAGAAAGGTTTGGGTTGGAAGGGACAACAAGTAACATCAGGTTCCAACTCCTCTGCCTCAGACAGGGTTGGCAACCAGTAAATCAGGCCCCAACTCAGTCTACCCAGGGCCCCATCCATCCTGGCCTTGCACACCTCCAGGGATGGGGCACCCACAGCTTCTCTGGGCAGCCTGTGAAAGGTAACACATGGAATGGGAGTCCATGAAGTGAAACACTGAGATCGCTTTGGCAAACTTGAAGGAAATCTCTGGCACATTAAAACCAACACAGCATTCTTCCAACGTGCCAAGCAACCCAGCAGTGCTCCCTTGCAACATCAATATCAATTTCCTCCATCAACAGGAGACAGAATAATAGCAACTTCCTCTCTATAATGCAGCCTTTAATTGTCTCAGATCTAATGCTGGCTTCCAGAAGCCATTCATTCTGCTCTGTAGGTAACCATGCTCTAGACAAGATGCAACAACTTCAGCAGCACATGTTAAATGCTGCAGGAAGCCCAGAAGGTGCATAAGGAGACTGCTAATAACATTAATCTACCACAGCATTACCCTGGCTCTTGCCAAGCACACAAGCCAGTGCTAAAAGCAACATGGGTGCTCCAGTGACCAGAAAACACTTGTAAGCTCTTACTCATCCAAGAGGCAGCAAATCCATACAACCAGTCAGATCAGATTTTTTTCTCCCCCTTATCAGCTCTGTAACATTTCTGATCCCCCTCTTAATGACAAAGTCTTCATTGATTTCAACAGAACTCAGCAAGATCCAGCAGAAAAGGAACTAAGAAAAGTGGGAAATGTCAAGTGAGTCATTAGTGGGTAGAAAAAGGAACTGTGTAGTGAGTAGTTCTCAACATACTTCTCCCCCTCTTCCCCCCCTTTAAAACAAACGATGCTACAAATTGATGGAATCCTTTGACATCAGTGAAGTTGCAGTAATGATGAGCCCTGCACAGCCTGCAGGAGCAAGGTGCTCCTCCCATCAGAGTGGTTACTTATGCCAAATGCCAATAAATACACAGGGAGAATCACCCTGTTTTGATATCTTTAAAAACGAGTTGAGACCTTAAATACAACAGACAGGAGAGAGGGAAGCAGACTTTCCCTTCTTCATAAAGCCACAAAAACTCCTATATTTTCTTATCTCTTGGCTGCTATTGCCAGCTTTACGAACTTTTGTGTCAAACATGTGTCACTCGGTGACATGGAAGGGAATATATCTCCCAGGGGTAGCAGGAACAGACACCACTATAGCACTAACTTTGTTTCCTCTGAACATCCTTTGGTGCATGCCCTCAGCTACCACAACACAGCCCTTCTTGGGTTGGTTACTACAGCAACAGGATCTGTTTGAGTTTGGTATCAACACATTGCAGGCTTCAAGAAAAAAAATATGTAACATACCCACAGTTAGCTCAAGAAACATGAAGCTACATGTCAGCAGCCCATGCCACAGAGATAACTCTCCGTAATCTTTCATCCTGTCTCTCCAATTACAAAACTCCACAAATCCCCACCTCCTTGGCTGAGCACAAGCCTGAGCAACCTCTGCCTCCCGAGGAAGCACAGCAGAGGTGCACTGCCCATCTCCTGCAGAGAAAACACAGCATGCAGAACTTGAGACTTCAGGGCCATAAACGTATTCTGTTCTATGGCTTTCATTACGAGCAAAGTAAAGCTCCAACTTAAAACCCATTCAGTATCGCAACTGCATACATGCGTTTATCCTAATACAAAAGAAAAAGATGTTGGTTGGTGAACAGAGCAGTCTTCCTGCACTGTCACACACCTTTACATGAGGTTACTTGAAGTTATTCCACTGAACTCCAGTACAACTCAGAGGGAAGGAAAAAACTCTCAGTGCAAGGGGTTATTTGTGTCTAATTCACTGCCTGGGGACAAAAGAGGGATTTTATTGTAGGTGAGCAATAACTAGTACTTAGCTGTCAGGTAAGAGACTGCTTCTTCCCTCTGGCTACAGTACAGCCCATACGTACTTGACAACACACTGAAGACAACATGGACTGGTCAATCAGATCATTTCTTACCAGCAGCCAACCAGGATGGAAAGCTTGGCCAGACTATTACCACTGTCATTAATTAGTTTCTATCCTAAGGGAACAGCCTATGCCAAATTTGCTCTTAATTTAAACTGAGGGAACTTACCCAAAAAACATTTTATCCGGTCACACACAGAGCAGCCCCCACTGAGTGAGCATGCTATTATGAGAAATCAAACTGATATAAATATAACAGTGACAGTATACACTCTGCAGTTATTTCCTCTGTGAAACAAAGGAGAATGAAGTGGGTAAGCTGCTCAGCCAGCTTTCTGCTAAGGCCACTGAAAATTGCATTGACGACACCAACAAAAAATAATCAGTGTAACACAAGCCCAAGCAAATAATTCTCTAATAACACCTTAAATAAGAACTCTGACCACTTCTCAAGTATTCTCAAATCTAAAATGACACACATTTCCAACAGCTTCCTCTCCATTCATATTCACTCACAGAGCAATATTTCTCCTGTTCATTTTTTCCTGTTAGCTTGTATTTTTAATAACCCAACTGAATGCAGTTTGATGTCAGAATTAATCATCCTCTATTCCAAAACCTACTTGCGATGGATAGGTTGGGAGAGGACAGACATTGAACTTCACTGCCGGCATGGCTGATAGGTTGGGTGTACACATGCTCTCTTCTGCACCCCACAGTTCACATGTACACACTCAGATGGGATTCCCATAAGCCAGTAATTTCAATTTCAATTTTTTTTTTTTTTTTTTTTTTTTTTTTTTTTTTTTTTGTAGAAAGGAACCCTACACAGTTAAATGCATATTTCTGAAGGAAGCACATAGTAAGCAGAAATCATTTTCTTCTGGCAGCGTTTTCCCAGCCACAGCTGATCTGCCAACTTTATTTAAATAAAGTTATTTCAGCATGCAAGATGAATGTATCTAAGGACCAAGAAGAATCACTCTTCCTAATCTTCCTCTTACGCACCCTCCTTAATCCTGTTCTCAGACATGAAGCATTGCTTAAAAACGCCCATGGAACAGACTGAAAGTTGCTGCTTCTTTATATCTTTTTTTTCTTAACAGATAATCTTAGAATCACTGCAAATTCCAGCTCATCATTTACAATGCTGGCAAAGCTGACCCAGTGACTTTAGTCTCATCATTCACCTTTGGGCTGGTACAGTATCATGTATTTTACATATCACCCTGCTCTGTCTAGTGGATCCCTCACAAGCCCTTATAGAACAAAGGCAAGGTTAATAGCAACAAAGGGACAGAAATATCAGGATTTTACGGCCAGTGACAGGAAAATATGGATACGCTTCGAATATGTAGAAGAACCTCTAAGCCACGTAGGAACACATCCAGGAATGCCATGCTGTATAGCTGTGCTATCCCAGGACACCTAAAGCCCTTCAGGTCAGTGGGACTGCCCAGCTTTGGCCACAGCTGTGTTCAGTTATGGCTGGGAGCTTGGTAAATGTCATAGCAAGGAGAGCACTGATGGCAATGTGCGTTCAGTTGATGGCTGAAAGCACAAGTGCATGGAGCTTTAGATCCTAGAAATAATACTAACAGACTACAGAAGAAATGCATTTACAGCAGCACATACTTCAACTTTATTGTGATTTATTGCATTGGAGCCATTTACCTAGTGACAAGCACTGCAGACTGAAGGGTGAGCCAAGCTAGTGAAGCTTTCGGTTTTGTTTTTTTCCCCTCCAGGTGAACAACTTCATCCAGACCACCCACTTTAAATCTGCTGCAGTGGGTTCTACTGCTGAAACCAGTGAGCACTTTACGACAACCAGAGATGCTTCACCAGGTAACTCGACACAGATTTCATATCTCAGGCATCTGGAATACGTTTGCAATGTGATCATCACAATAATGAGCTCAACTCCTGGTTCAGCATATCTCAAAGCAGACATCACCAGCTTCTTCATCCTGTTTTGTTAATTACATGGGTCACATTATTTGGCACCCGCTGGAGTATATCGGGCCAGAGCACCTACTTTGTAACGGCCCCTGCTAAAATGTGATGGTGGAAATGACCAAGACATGCACCTCCTTTTCAGTCAACCTTAAACAACCAGTATCAGAATTTAAAGCAATCTGGGCAAACAGCAGCTTCCTAACTATTCACTCTCCATTACCATGGCTGTCCATCTTTACCATAGCTACAACAAAAGAAAATATCAAGGTACTTCCCTGCTGCTTACTATCACTCGAACACAGACCAATGCCACCTTACCTTCACCAGCACAGCACCACAGAGAGAAGAAACCTGAAGGCAGCCCTTCCACAGGAAACAAATCGAACAAAACCAACATGGAAAAACTTCCAGTGAGAAGTTAACAGAGCCTTACCTATGTACAGAGAGGAATCTTTCCGCCTCACGTGGTCGTCAATGTAGGAAACTCCCAGGGGCTGGACAGGGGTAGCACCAATGCCCAGGAGGACCTGTGCTCCAATGAGCAGCAAGTACATCATGTTGGTGGCAGTCCGATTCCTGCAGATAAGGTCCGGGTCTGGTCCCTCATCACTGGTGGACCCATTGGCAGCACACACATCCCTCCCTTCAGCTCCCCAGCGTATTTCCCCTGATTCGTATTCGTACTGGTGGGTCAGAAATTCAGGCAACGCGGAAAGGAGGGCACCCAAGGCCATGACAATCCCTCCACATCCTATCAAGCGTGGTCTGTGTCCTCGGGCTCCGAAGTAGCTCACAAAAAGGATGAGGGCCAGGTTGCCGATTTCAAAGCTGCTGGCAATGACACCCACGTCTGCACTCTGGAGGTTGAATCGCCGCTCCAAGGTGGTTAAAACACTCACCTGCAACAGAGAAATCCAGAGACAGTTACTGAAAGGGAATGCAAACTGCTTTCTGGCCTCCCTGTATGCCTTGCGAATCCTTGCACATACTTGGCTCGCATGCTAGCACAAGTTTAGGAAGTCAGTCAGAGACAGCGATGCACAAATAGGCAATTTGGCTGGCATAGAAGGCTTCCATTAAAGCATTAAAATAAAACGGTGATCAAATGGCTTAAACTGTTTGTGGATTAGTTAATGACTGAGATCTTCAATTACAGAATGGCTTTGAGAAGACAAGCAAATTAAGATTTACATAAAGATTTAAACCTACTATAAAGAAGGAAAAATGTGGTGGCTATTTAACTTGAACGTGGTGGTAACGTGGTGGCTATTTAACTTGAAAAAGAGGCACAGGAACAGTCATCAATCTCAAGACTGATGCAAAAAGGAATGAGCTGTTCTTTGTATTCAAAAGGGGCAGGATAAGAAGCGACAAGCTGAAACAACAGCAAAGCTGACTCTGATTAAACACAAGGTTGGAAGGGGGGGAAGGGGGAAGTGGCCTTCTGATGGCAAGGGATGTCAGGTATGCAAATATACTGCCTGGAGAGGCTGCAGGGCTACTGGAAAAGAACACAGAGCAGCATCCCTCAGGAACACTACAGGTATGACTGATCTTGCCACAGGGCAAGAAGATGGATCTGGTGATCTCGAGGCATCTACCAGTCTTGATTACATGGGGCAATGAAATGCACTGTGGGTTTTACACAGTGGTCAAAGCCCTGAGCAATGGGGAAGGGAAGAGGAAATACTGGGCACCTCACTTACTGCCACCCCTGTTCAACAGAGAAAACTCAGTGCATTCTTATGCCCGAAGCAGTGTCTGATCTACATAAGAAAATAAAGAAATATAATCTTGAACGTGTCACAGAAACACCAAAAGCTTTTCCCTTAGATAAAAAACTACCTTGTTTCTCAAAATGCAAAAGATGACCACACTTAAGGTTGTCCTAAAACAGGCAAGTTTTGCTGTTAAAAAGAGCCACACCATGCTGTAAAGACCTCACAGCAGAAGGTGGCCCCTGGATAGAGTAAAAATAACCTCCCGCTGGAGGCACTGAAAATCTTTGCTGATAAACCTCACGAAGAAGGAGCCAGTCTGACCGACTTTAAAGTATTCTGACAGCAGCTCTTCTCCAAGGGCAGCTGGCCTCTGCTAGGGTAGAGCAGGGCACAGCCTGGACAAAGACAGCCCCAGCAGCAGCGTGAGGGAAAGACAGCAGGAGCAGCCCCTCCACTCTGCATAAGCAAAAGCCCTGAGACTTCAGCCAGAGAGGTCAGGCCTACAAGAATCATTTATTTGGGATTTTTGAGTATTCAGCCTTTGTCCTGTACAAGCAGTTGTTATTTTATGTCAGTGCTCAGATTGAGGAGCCAAGAACTGAGCAAGGGAAAAAAAAAAAAAAAAAAAAAAGCAAAGAGAACTATAACCTAAAATCTCAGCCCTCTGACTGAAGACAATGCCACAGCAAAACTTCTACCCCAGGGCAAAGCCAAGTGAAGGTATGTGTGTGCCTGAGAGAGAGGAGACTGCTGTTCCATCTGGAACACAGGGTGCAGCTCCTGCTGGGTGAAACAGTGCTGGGATTCACTGGGAGAAAATGCTGACCTTGTGCATGATGGCACAGCACAGCCTGTCCCTGCTGCAGCGAGCTCAGCCGCTCTGTTTGGCAAACAGTGCCTGAGTGCACATCTAAGGGAGATGTCACTGTTCCCAACCCTCCTTCGGACCCGGCTGAGCATCCAGGGACAGACACAGTCACAGCAAAGCAGAGCTATGTGCACAGCATCCTGCTGCCCAAGGCTGGCCCTCCAAGCATTCCATTTATCACCCACAGCATGGATTGGTTTTACCACAAGACGTGAGCTAATAGGGTCAGTGCATCATACCAGCAGGGCTCCAGCACTCAGCCTCATGCCACAAACATCAGCAAAGCCTGCAGGCAGCATAAAGCCAGGCTTTGGGGACCCCTTCATGCTTCTAGATTCCAAGCACAACTTCCAGCCGCTTAAAAGGAAGTTGATGGAGTTCAGCAGCTGACCTCAGAGGCAAAAAAAAATCACATCCACATTGCCCATTTCTGAGCCATACCTACATAGGAAACTCTTAAGTACACATTTCAGCTGTGTAAACTAAGGCACAGAGAGCCAAATGTTAGCGAGGCAAGTACAGATGGAATTAATTCATGGTGGCATAACTCAGGATGGTTGATCTGAAGCTAAGAGAAGTGATTTCCCGAGGTGAGTAGGCATTAACTAGTTTTAGAAGTCTCTCCTGCATTTGAGCCTGCCTGCCAAACTGTCAGCTTTTACCATGCATACATGAGTAACTTAAAAGCAGGCTGGCATTTAGAAACACTTTGGTGCCATGGCAGAGTGCTCAAATTTTGGAGAGCTGGATTCCAAACTGCACCTTTCCTACACGAAACTCACAGTGACAGGGACAGTACACCACTGACAAACCTGGGAATTAGAACTAGCAGCCCCAGCTGTCATTCTGCTCTTACTTCAGTTGGACTTGGGCTGTCCTTCCCCTTTTGTAATAAAACACAGTAAGGAGGGAGACTCAGTCTGCATCACTCCACGGAGCTGCTTTACCCTTTGCTAACAGCTTTTTGCTTTGCCTCGGTGAAGAAACAAAAAGCAGAGGAGAAAGACCAAACTCCAACCGTCCTGATAAAGCAGGCAGGAGTTTATTCCTTTATTAAGCGATGTATCAGGCGTCAGCCTCAAGCACCCAGAAGAAAGCAGCATCTGAGAGCGAAGGGCTGACACCAGCATTAGCAGAGTGGGCTCCAAAACACTCACAGCGACTGGGGGGGAACAAAAAACAAAACCCAAAATAGGACTGGAAAATAAACACGAAAAATGTCAACATGCAGATTTTGCATCAGAGAGCACCAGCAACAACGGCATTACATCCAGGCAGCAGCTGAGAAAGCGCAGTCCAAATCCTTGCTTTAACATTGGCTGTGACCTTAAATACACACTCTGCCTTCAATGCTGGCATTAGCATAGCAGAGATGTTACTAACATTAATTCAAAGCCAACCTCTTAGCCCGTGGCTAAAATCATTCTTTCGCTTTCTCCTACACCCCACATTAACACGGCTCTCTGTGTGCAAGCATCTCCCAGCTGTAACCTGACTGATAGCTGCAGTCTGCATGCAGGAAGCTGCTGCTGCCCTTGTAACTGCTGGAACAGAAGACAGCACTGCGCTGCCCATATTTCCCCAGCAGATCAGCCATGGCAGCTCCCAGACACAAGCTCTATTTACCAAGAGTTATGTAAATGTTACAAAAGGCACTACAGGTCCCTGTGAAATACTGACATCATGTGAAAGGGCTGTGAGATTTAGAAAGAATTGCCGTGTGCTGAGAGCAGGGTGAGCGCTCAAGAGCGCAGCCCAGGCGGATGCTGGTTCAACAGAAGGGATGCAAGAGGCTGGAGCAGCACTGGAGCTTCAGGTGGACAACCTCCTGTTAAAATGCAGTGGGATGAAGCCTGCAGCAGGAGCTGTGAATTTGCTGTTTCCTATCTAAAAGCAGCTCTGCTTTGCCTAGATCCCCACTGCTCGTGTGTCCTTACATCCATGTGCCCTACAGCCCAGGCCTGAACAGGTCACCGGTGTGCTGCATCTGCCTTGTGCTGCAGCACTGCACACACACCAGCCTGCCGGCCCCATTCCCACCACCTCCTGCAGCAGGAATTGCCTTTCCACCCCCCAACTACATCCTCTGCCTCCACAGTTTCCACTCAAGACATCTCCCACCCAGCACTAAGGCTTAGCGATGGCACTAGATACCAACAGCTGCTGCTGCTTTGCAAGTTCACACTCCTCCATGGTAAGCCTGCACAAGATACACTAACTGAACCACTGTAACCTGCATCACTTTGGGCACCTGCACATTGTCCTCAGAAGAAAGCCAGGCTGGGGATCTAGAGAAATCATGTAACCCAGCCTTCTGTCTTTGTGAGCACACAGCCTAACACACAATGACCACAAGTAATTAAAGCTCATTGCACGCTATCTGCGAGCTCACAGACCTCATCTCCCTCCTCTTCTTACAGAGCCAGGGAAGGCTATGCTCCTGTCTGCCTCAGTCACATCCCAACACTCACAGGGATCTGGGCTGAAGGGTCCTACCAAGTCTACTCTGAAACACTTCTCTATGATTGAAAAAGGAAAGCGATCTCACATTCTGTACACAGTGACAGATTTCCTACAGTAAAGGAGAAAAAAAAAAAAAAAAAAAAAAAAAAAAACAAACATCAGCTTAAATTTTTTTTTTTTTTTTCAGCCGCAGCAACTTATATTGCCATCCCTGTAACCAAACCCAAGGAAGCTTTTGTGCCTTTCTGGCCTTAGTTCAATAGTATTTGCTCACATTCATCATTCTTGTCTGCCCCAAATCTATAGATCTTTGCTATCTGAACGATAGCACATTTGTTCTCTCCATAGGCTGTTTATTTTGCATTAATGCTCAGAAAAATGCAATCCGCAGACCTGCCTCACACTATTGCCCCACTTTATCACTAAGAAATGAATCGAAAGCTGGGGGCACGGTTACAGAGTCACATATATAGTGCACTGAAAATGGATATCATATTGTTCCTATCTCCAATGATCAAGTCATATTCACCCACAGAGTCTACAGATAAGTTCATTGTATTAATAATACAGGGTTATATATAGAAAACACATTGACTTTATGCCTGAAGGGCCTTTTTAAAAGGCTTCTTTTTAATGTAAAATGCATTTTCTCAGTTATGTGGTAAGAGATTGGACTTGAAGAGACATGTCTGCAGCGCTAAAGGGTGTAAAATAATTGCCTGGCAACTCAGTTCCCAAAGGAAAACAAACGCCAACCGTCTCCCACAGTCTCCACTACAGAGCTGGGAAAGTCAGGTTTCCTCCAAGAGCCAAAGGAGCCATCCTGGAACGAGCACAGCCAGACCCA